GATCCACATATATTTTTGGTTATGTATTATACTAATCTAAATTACTATTGTGAGTCTTTTTTTCTTTATCTCCAAGATCTACTTTGGTTTCTATATTTATTATTCGTGTTTTCTGATCATGAGATTATTTAGACAAATGCTAGATTTTACATATTACATTTCTATATCTGTACATTTTAGATCAATAGAGATCTTGAATTTGAAATCTTTCACTTACACTAAAAGAAAAGTACGTGAAATAATAAAAATTAAAATGAAACAACATTTTAAACTATTATGATGGAAAGCAACTTATCCAATTATTAGGCTAAAAATGACTAATAAATTTAGTAAATGAAACAACAAATGTACAATTTTTTGATTTTGCTATGGGAAGGAAATTCAATTCCCATTCAAAATAAAAATATAAAATGCAGTCAACCAATGGTCTAATTTTGGTTGCACAAAAAAAAAAAAGAGAGCTTTAACCATTTTTATGTAAGAAGGTTATTTGTGATATGGAATAGTAAACAAAAAAAAAAAAGAGTTTTTCACTAAAAGAAGAACTTAATTCTTATTCTTATGTCAAGTGAAATACCAATACAAGATTATATATTGTTTTTCCTTAAGAAATTTGTGGCAATCTTGAAGTTTATATATGTAATTAGTCTTGATAAATTTAGGGGATGGGAAGGGTGTGGGAAGGGGTGGGAGAGCAAAAAAAAAGTTGTGATAATTATACATTATATTGCATTGATGACACATTTTTTTTGAAAATTAAACAGTAAAAATAATTTTATCAATTTTTCTATTTTCTGTGCATGCTTCTATTTGTCATACTCTATATCTTGATTAAGAAGTTTGCTCACCTTTATTCACCAATGTTCTATTACTTAAATTGCATATATTTAAAGCATTACATTAATGGTTTACAAATATGAGGAATTGTAAAATCATGGACTATTGAATATTTTTAGGCCAAATAAACAAACAAAAATTTTGAAATTTAAAATGTTAACTTCTTGAAAGAAATCCACTACTGTATGAATTTTATGCCAAAGGTAATAGATATGATCATTAAGAAATGAAATTAAAATTTTGGCAAAATACTTTTTGAATTTTCTGAATGTTGGACATGATGGATGAGAAATGAATTGGCATTTAGCAAACATAATTTGGTTTTGGATCTATTACAATTTGATATGGCATGTTTCAAGTGTTATACCATTTTTTTTTTGGTAATGCATGTTTGTTCTAGGTTGACGGTAGCTAAAAACTGTTTTTTTTTTTTTTATAAAAAAAAAATTTCAGCAAGGAAAAGGATTGGATTTATAAAGGCAGAAGCAGTAAGGGGTAGCTAAAAAATGTTTAACATTTCATAGGTTAAACTATTGTTTATTAAATTGTTATGTGTTATATATTCCCATAACTATTTATTTATTTTTGATAACATTCTTTATAGCTGTGCATAGCACTGGTTTTTAAACTAGTTCATAGAAGTTTGCAACGGATCCCCTTCCTAGATAAGATTTTAGAAGGTGCTATTTGGATCTACTTCGGGGATCTGTGACTCGCCAAACGGATCCACGAGCGGATCCTTACCTAGTGGATAATTGAAGTTTATATCAGTTTTTAATCATTTTGTTTCCTATTCTAATTAGATGTATTTAGGAGTTTCTTATTAAGTATTTTCCTTATCTCATAGTTTCTTATTCCTTATACATATCTGGTAGTAGTGGTGGGCTTAGTTAAAGCTATTGTATTAACCTACAAATGAATCAAATTAACTGAGTTGTTGGCTTTACCATGTCCCTTGGAGTGGCTTAACTGAGTTGTTTAGGTTCTTGTTGAATCTTGTTATCTTTGGAAGGTTTGATCGACCCTTGATTCTTTCTTATGGATTTAGGGTGTATTTGATAAAAATTGAAGTCTGAAATCTGAAAACTGAATCCATTAATTTATTGAATTGTTAAATATTAAATATAATACATTTGAGTGCATATCACATTTAGTGATAAGTGAATAACTTATCACTTAATTTTGGGAGCAAGTTTTGCCTAGAAAATTCAGTACCACTTAATTAATTCAGATGTTCAATTTTTGGTTCTCAAACAGTCTAAAATATAAATCCATTAAATTTAAATACCGAATTGGGTTATCAAATCGGACCTTAATTTTTTGAACGAATACTATTAAGTCGCTTCTGCTACCACGTCACTGCATCAACAACGTTAGGGTCTATCAGATTTACTGGAGCCAAACCATCTGGTCTATGAACCAGAAACTTAAGCACCCATAAATAAGAACCCTTTAATGGTATATGAACTCAAGAATTAAAGGACAAGCAAAAATCCAATTAGAACCCTCTAATGTATGTATATTCAAGGATTAAGAACAAGCAAATATTCAAGAGACCACCAACATCAGATTTATAGATTATATACTCACGAATAATCAGGAATTTATGTTATATGTATAAATTTTTATATTTATGCAATTGATGGGGAGACACTCCGCTCTATTTAAGGCAAAAATTCCCCTTCCCCTAACCCACCCCTCCTTCGCTCCAACCCCCTTCCTCCTCTTACACATGGACATGTCTCAGTTACCATCCGTAGCATGGATTGTTAAAATTGCATAGTTTATAAATGAGTTATTTGTTTTGCTGATTTTATGGTCTGCGAAGAAGATTTCTTTCATTTCATATATGATGTATGTAATCGCTGTTACTAGTGCCGACTTCTTTTAAGATCAATGAAAGTTTATTAATCAAAAAAAATTAAAATTCGTAGTTCAAACTCCATATTCACACAATATCATTACAATCATTTACTTACATATCACGATGATTGGTAAGAATATGATCAGTTTAATTCTCTTTTAACGCAAAAACAATACATTTCCTGAAAACATTGCAATTCCAAGGAGAAAAGCGAGACAACAACTTACCTCCAACCTCCTCCAATTCCAAGGAGATTCACCAAATCTGCACTTAAATGAAAATAGCTCTTCATAGAAATCTCCTTATGTTGAAGATGCAGAAAGATGCATTCAATACAATATAAGTAGACGAATTAGTTAAAGAATTACTTCGCGTATCTAATCTCTATTGATAAATGGAATCCCTTCACATGCTCTCTCTTTATAGCGTTGCTAAACGTGTTAAAATCTTTGGTAATTCATGCTTTAAGTATATATGTATAAGCACCACAATCAGCCTAATAATTAATCATGTACTTTGAGCGTTCAAAAAACGAGCTTAAAAAATGTGGAGCTTAAACTAATGAGCCCCTTCATTATGGGATTCAAATGAAGAGTTGATGCAGATAAAGAAGAGAAAAGTTTGACAAAAATGCCGCCCACTCCTACTTAAAAGGAAAAAGCTTCACCCCAGCTCTCTTTTAGCCTTTTCTTACTGGACATACTTGAATGCAATCCGAGGTTTATAGATGAAAGGTGATTAGAAAACAAAAGTTGTGCTCTTTAACTCTTTCATGTGGACCAATTTGTTGGCCAATGGTGGACTCCATCATCATGGAATTTTTCTTCTTTAGCAAAGGAACACATAAAAGTGAACGTGAGCTTGTGGTAAAATATTCTGATAAAGAACTAGTTATTCTTGAATGGATCTTCGGATTCTGATTTTTTCTTAGCACTTTCTTGGAGGGTTATACAATACAATGCAGAAGTAAATAATTTACTGCCCAAACTGATAGCCTGTGAAAAATGAAAATAGGGGACCACATATAATTAGCTGCTAATTTATGAAAATGGTCATGCCTGCTTGAGAAATTTGCAATTTGATACATAAATCTATATTGGTACTGAATTGGGACGTAAAAACAAAGTTCTTGGAATCAATTTGCCTATCCGAAAAAGAGCAAATTGATAGCAAGACAATATGATTATATATATATACTCAAATAGTGTGACTGACATCCTGCTGATATTTTTATAGCTGTAATCTTATTAACCCATAGGCATGTTAACAATTCAACTTTAAGGAACTTCTTTTTGGCGTTAGCATAAATATTTAAGCCACATTTATGTATGAGTGCATAAAGAATAACAGTGCTCATTCTTTTTGACATTTACCCTTGAAGGTGACACCAAAGTATTGGTAATTCGATCGAGATTATTCTATAATTGTAATATGATTTTACTAGTTTACATTTAATTGTAAACTGTGTCGTTTTCTTCGTAATTGTCGTGTTGTGAGGTCGTTAGAAAGAATCTTTCAGAATTGATCCATGTCAGCAGTTCGTTACATGCAGCCTCAGGCACTAGTATTAGTAGTGCGGCTCTGCACCCGGGAATGGCAATGGCAGACTTTTACTGATTTGTAAGAGAATCCTTGGAGTGAATGGAATAATTCCTCCCTCTCTGCAAGTTCCCTTAACTTCTTCCTTCAGTACCCTCTTTACATTTCTCTCTTTCCACCTTCATCTCATCCCTATTCTGTTGCTCAAGCTGAATTCCAATACTTCGGCCAAGGAGCCATTGGGATCAGCTTGAGTTTGGTGACAGAAGCCCATAATCCAAGACTTCTACCATGGAGCCTTCATCACTAGGAAGAAGGCAGAACAAGAGAAAAATGGAGGAGGTTGGCAATACAAGCACAGATCATTGCCATTGCCATTGCCATTTTTCTAACACCAGATTTCACAAGGGTCGAAAGGTTTTCCCGGTAGTTCAAGTCCCACATGGAGTTTTCAGAAGACCGGCTGATGCTGGCAAGGCTGATGGGTCAGAAATCCAGATTGATCATATTAACTCTCCAAAAGATATTGGAACTACATCAATGGCGGAAGAAAATGTCTCTGGCAGTATTAGACACAAAGAGGATGGGGATCACCACCAAGAATGCAAAATGAGTTCATCTTAAAGGATCATTCCCAGTTACCCGCTGCTAGTACTGCTTCTACTCAGGGAAAAAAGCTCCCAAAAAATGTTGAGAGGGCCAGGCAGAGAGTGATGGAAATTGTAAGAGAATTCGAGCTTTTTGTGACCAAATCATGAGGATGGATAAAGAGGATAATTACAAGAGGAAGAGGGTTGATTTCATGGCAGCAAAGATGATTAAAAAGAAATTCTATTACTACCCAGATAAGCCCCTCCTTGGCCCAGTCCCTGGAGTGGAAATTGGAGATGAATTCCACTACAGAATGGAGCTGTACATTTTAGGGCTGCATCGTCCGTCTCAGGAGGGATTGAGTATGTGCAGGATGGAGGAAGAATTATTGCGACCAGTATCATAGATTCTGGGCTTTACGATAACTACAAGGCAGATCAAGATACGCTTGTATACTGTGGTCAGGAAGGAAATAATGCATGAAGATCAGCAGCTGAAAGGTGGAAACTTGGCATTGCTGAATAGCATAAGGGCAAAGAACCCTGTTAGGGTTATCCGCGGTTGTAAGTTACCAAGGGCCTCCACCACCTACTTCTACGATGGATTGTACACAGTGGAGAAGATGTGGGAAGACAAAGGTCTGCTTGGGAAAAGGGTTTTCAAGTTCAAGCTGGTGAAGATGACCGGACAGGCCAGCCTTTTTACTTCAAGAAACTAAGGTAAGAAGTCTTTGATTAGATGATATTATTGTTTGCTCCCTCTTTTAGCAAATTTAAGGCATGTAATCGAACTTCTAGTCTAACTTTACAGAAAGCAAGATCAATCCTTTGATCTTACTGATTGCTGTCACTATCCTAGAATTGATTCATCGCCGCATATTTGTCAAATTAGATTTTTATAATATTTACGAGTAATTTTAATCTCAAAAAAATGGCTTAATTCCTTTGTTTTTTTGCAAATAATTCTTGACTTTCTAATTCTCTATGCGCGTTCTATGATGTACATACTTTTTTACTTTTGGTAAGTGCCATGATGTCAATATTTGCTTTTATCGTATTTCCACGCGTCCTTATTTGAGGAAAGTTCGTGTTCAATCTCCGTTATCGAGCTATGCGCTTCTCCTTCCAGGATTAACGTTTGATTTACAGATAGAATCATCGTTTTTAGCAGTTATTAGAATCCATTGAATGCTGTTAAACTCTTGCAAAAGGTCAGTTATCTACAGGGAAATCACCGTTTGATTGCCATTTGATAGCCATTTCCATCTTTGACAGGGTTAAAGATATGGAAAGATGAAGGAGCGCCTGGAAACACCGATTTCGAGTTCAAGTTGGCAAAAATCCCGAACCACTCACAGTCTTTTTTCCTTGACGAAATTAAAGTAATCTAAGTTAGATAGAATATAATGTATGCAGTCTAGTAGTGGTAGAGGAGTGTGTGTGTGTGTGCGTATATATAGTGGCTTTTCAATACACAAAACTTTGCTCATGATCACAAGACTGCATGTTTCATGTTCTAAGTTATCAGCATACAACATGAATGGCTGCTATTTACCAAAGGTAACAAAAATTTTAGGCATTCAAGGAAAATAGAAACAATAATAAGTAGCTTGTTCATAAGATACAACCATTTTCCAGTTACAAATTAACTCATTTTGCTAATTAATGCATTTCCTTTTTCCTTTCAGAATTGCACTACGAGTTTCATATGTCAAACATATTCTCCACCCTAAGAAACTCCTAAATTTTGACGCGCACAATTAATTTCTTTATTGAGTTGCACTGAACGAAATTTTATTCTTTTCATCGCCTTAAAATCTTGCTTGTTAGCACAAAAAATCACATAACAGAAATAATAATAAAATCTGTAAATCTGATTAGATAATATTGGCATATTAAATCAAGCCTAAAAAATAGAAATTTCCATATAATAATTTAGCAGCCTTTTAGTCAAATTAGGATTTTAGCAATTATAGTGGAGTTAAGTTATGGTTGTTTTATTGTTGAGGAATTAGAATTACAATAGTTTTTATTATTTGTTTTCTTATTTAAGGACTTGAAATCCTAAATTTTGTTTCCTCCTATGCCTTTCTTACTATTCACTGTTTGTAAGAATTTAATATCACTTCTACTCCGTGATTTTTTGTGCTAACAAAGTGGTATCAGAATAAAGTGGTATCAGAGCCCTAGGTTCAAGAGTTTGATCCTGGGGTGTTTATAGAGTGATGCAGATACGGGGTTCAACTCTTTGGTCAACATTGGTGGTCCGATGACAAGATCAAAATCTAAGAGGGTGAAGGAAGCTTTACGAGTCTTGATCATTCACCATACAAGCAAGGAGCAAGCTAAGTTAAAATATTTGGTGGACCATGAAATCACCTTGTTCACTTGTACATTTGAAGTGAAAGAATGATCTCATACTTGTTAGCTTAGTTAGTAGTTATTTTAAAACTGCCTAGTTTAGTAGCTTGTTAATCGCACAAAGGACATGTTGTCCTCTAGTTTTAGTCCTTAAGTATCTAGTTGGTCATAAGCTTGCTTTAGTCAAGCACCAATGTTATTATTTGTGTTAAGTTGATTAGGGTTTTCCTAAGTTGCACTTGGACTTGGGCCGAGTTTAGCAAGGGAAATTCCAAGTCGGATTAGGTTTTGTTGGCAGCTTAGTTTAGGTCTTTTACACGCCTATATAAGGCTTTTGTCTTTCGGAAATTAGGGATGAAAAATTACAACCAGAAATCGTGAGTATTTTTCCTTCAAGTTCTTGATCGAACTTACTCTTGAATTCTTGAGTTCATAGATTAGGATTCAAATCAAACTTTATCGATTAGTTTGTTCTCTAGTTGTGGTGTCTCTTCATCCATCATCATTTGCTTAAGGTTACTGATTACCTTCGTGTGTTAGAGATCTTGAGTTCATGAGAACAATTGAGTTCAATTTCTGTTGGGAGAAAAGGTCCAACTCTAATATTACCGAGTTGGGAGGTTCTAGGATAGTTTTCCCTAGGGTTGTTCATCAGTTGGTATCAGAGCATCAGGTTAATTTCTTTCAATTGAAGTTGTTCATATCTTGTTAGTTTGTGTCTTTTGTTTAAAAAAAAAAAAAAAAATACTGTAGCACATACTGTTCATCATACTGTAGCATACTGTTCATGTTATTGTTAATCGTTACTGTTCATCCGAGTAAAAAAAAAACATTCTTGTTTGTTTCTATTTCTTGCTGTCCAACTTAGGGTTTCTAGTTTATGTGTCACGTATCTTTCAATTCTTGATTGTTAATTGCTGAGAATTTTGTTTGCAATATCCGCTATCAGTTCTTGAAATTCTTGAAATCAATCTTGAAGTTCTTGACATTCTTGAATATCTTGATTGTGTGAACTATAACTTGAGATTGTTGAACCAAGATATCGTGAATCTTGGAGTTCTTGTACAAAACAAAAAGAAAAAAAATCGTTTCCAAATTCGAATTGTTGTTGGTTTCCAAATTCTTGTTGGATTAAGGTTGAAAGTTGTTAATTGGAAAGTCTCAATCATATCCAAAGAAAGATTCCAAATCTTAATTGAAAAGGACTTCCAAAATCTGATAAGATTAAATTTCTATATTTGGAAAGGATGGACCGAGTGTGAACGCATCTGTTCATACCTACCAATCCTTACCCTTGTGTATGCACACCTTAAACAACCTAAACTTTTCATTTTTCACCCCTTCAATCCACTTTTTACCACCGAAAAACCACCTACCACACGTGACATTACCCCTAAACACCTACCTAACAGCAAACTAAATTTTTAAGCAAGACAAGGTACGAATTCTAGGATTTTTAGGATTTGCAAAATTTTGCTTTGTGTCTTATTACTTGCTTATAGGGCAATTAATAATTTCTTGAAATTCTGGTATATCGGATTACTCCAACTCTTTGGAATCAAGGTGAATTAACTAACCTATTGTACATCCAGAGTCACTACTCCAGTACTTAAAATTGCGTCTTCACTATTTGAGTCGAATTTCCAGTTTTCTAGGAGTTATTAGTGTCACATTTTTTTACTCATTCAATTTTTTGTTAAGTCTTGAGTTGTTTGGTTTGAATTCTTAATTCTGAAATTTTTGAGAGTTTGAGTTTTCTTTAAGAATTTTGAGAAGGAAAATTGGGAGTGAGTGTGTTTTCCTTGAGTGATTCAAGAGTGCTTTGCAAGGTAGATTAGGATATACTTGTTTTGCAGGTTTGACAATATGTCTCAAGAGTGGAATATACCTGAGCCACTTGAGGCAGACGTGTCAAACAAACTGGTGCTCCAAACTCTTCGAAAACGAGCGAAGAGACATGAATTTGTGATGATACAATTATCCGACAGGTTAGCTACCATTGAGATGCGAGGTACCGGAGATACACACAATAGAGTTTCGAGTGTTCAGAATGATGATCATTATGCAGATGATGAGGGATATCAATTTAACACCTCATTTCGATCAAGAAAAAACCAAAGGGGAGCAAGGGAAGGTTGAGACTGACCTAGGAGAACCGATGACAATCTTGGTTCCATCAATACCAAGATGCCTACCTTTCATGGGAAAAATAATCTTGAAACTTACTTGGATTGGGTTAGACGAGTCGAGCAAGTGTTTGAAATTCACAATTACTCTTAAGAGAAAAAGGTGAAACTTGCAGTTGTTGAATTTCAAGATTATGCATCTATTTGGTGGGAGCAAGTGTGTGCCACAAGGAGAAGAAATAGGGAACAATCGATTGACACTTGGACTGAAATGAAGCAAGTGAGGAGGAAACGATTTATACCCTTCCATTATACTACGGACTTGTACAATCAGCTCCAACGACTCACTCAAGGGTCTAATTCGATTGATGAGTACTACAAGCAAATGGAAGTAGCGATGATAAGGGCCAATGTACAAGAGCATCCAGAAGCAACCATGGCGAGATTCCTTAATGGATTAAATTCTGAAATCAGGAAGAAAGTTGAGCTTCAAGATCACTTTGCACTTTAACAAATGGTTTCTTATGCAGAGAAGGTGGAAAAGCAAACCTTGCCTATAAAAACACCTAGTTGCCAAACCACTACATTCTCTTTCACTCCTTGGAGAAGAAATCAATTGCCAACATCCAATATTTGGCCAAGACAAGATAATAGAGAAAGGAAAAACAAGTGGATTGAACAAATTTCCAATCCAAGTGTAACTTCTTTTAAACCAGCCCCACGGCCGACTCTTCTAGAGGCAAATGCATCTACCAACCAGCCAAAAGCATGTTTCAAATGCAAGGGAATTGGCCACCTCATGGCTTAATACCCTAACCAAAACATCATGTACATGAATAAAGATGGAGTGTGACAAAGCGAAGAAGATGAGAAGTACGCTGATATGCCATCGTTTGAAAAAGAAGAAAAGGATGATGACATGGTTGAAATAGAAAAGGACCCCATAGCTCGAGCTATAGTGACTATGAGAGTGCTTATACACAAGCTTAAGAAGATGATCTCCAACAGACCAACATCTTTCATACGAGATGCAAAATTGGAGATGAGATATGTCTTATGATCATTGATAGTGACTATTATACTAATTGTGTAGCTGCCGATTTTGTTGAGCAAAAGCGCATTCTATGGACTTACCACCCTAAACCCTATAGTTTGTTTTGGTTAAATGATGGGGGGGGGAAGTCAAGGTGATCAAATAAGTTTTAATTGTTTTTTCTATTGGTCCATCCAAGGACCGAATTTTATGCGATGTAATTCCTATGCATGCTAGTCATGTCTTATTGGGGCGTCCCTAGGAGTATAATAAACAGGTTGATCATATTGGATTCACTAATAAGTATAAGTTCATTATGGACAATCTCAAAATCGCTCTTTCACCCTTGACACCTACACAAGTGTATGAAAAACAATTACATCTAAGAAAAGAGAGAGAGAAAATGCAGTCGAGAGAGGCAAAGAAAAAACCGAATGCGAGAGAGAATAAGGGGAAAAAGAAAGTAGAGGCCGAGTTGAGTGAAAAAGAAAATTCGAGTGGAAAAAGATTCAGTAAGGCCGAGAGTTTGAAAGTGAAAAAAAAAGAACTTTTATGCAAGTATGCGTGAGATAGATAGGGTTTTGAATGTACAAAGTCTTCTCATAGTACTTATGTACAGGGAAACTGATTATTTTTCTTTTTACACACTAGGCATAACCGATTCTCTTCCTAGTGCAATCTATCATCTTTTGCAGGAATTCAAGGATATGTTTCGGGAGGAACTATCGAAAGGATTACCTCCAATTCGAGGTATTGAACATCAAATCGACTTTGTTCCTAGAGCAATTCAACCAAATCGACCAACTTATAGAGCAAATCCGGAGAAAATAAAGGAAATCCTAAGGCAAGTCGATTCCATCCTTGAAAAGGAACAGGTTCGTGAATCTCTTAGTCCTTGTGCAGTTTTAGTCATTTTAGTGCCTAAGAAAGAAGGGACTTGGAGAATGTGTACAGATTGTCATGCAATTAATAAACTTACTGTTAAGTATCGTCATCCTATTCCTAGGTTAGATGATATGTTAGAAGAATTGTGTGGAGCAATCATTTTCACTAAAATTGATTTAAAATCTGGTTATCATCAAATAAGGATAAAGGAAGGAGATGAATGAAAAACTGCTTTCAAAACAAAGTATGGTCTTTATGAGTGACTTATGATGCCTTTTAGTTTAACAAATGCTCCAAGTACTTTCATGAGATTAATAAACCATGTTTTAAATGGACTTGTCACTACAATTGATCAAATTTTTTAAATTACTTTTCATTCGAATATCAATAAGTTGATCAAGTTCGTCAGGTATTGTATAGTGCTACTCTAGAGGATGCATTCTCATTCTAGGCCAACCCTTGGCACAAAAAGGGCTCCCCCAATAGGACATATATTCGAATTACTTTAATTTTTACTAACTCACATCCTTTTCTTTTTTTTTTTCTTTTTGTCAACAGTTAATCAAGAGGGAAGTTTAAAAAGGATTTTTTAAATTTTCAGGTAATTGTAAACATAGTTAAACGAAGAAGCTCCATCATTACACGACCACGTAGTCAAGTTTTGAAAAATAGTGTAAACATAAGTCCACATCCTGAATCGTCCGATAGATTTGCAATGACGCCATCAGCTGACCTTGCAAATCTGGGAGTTCAACTGAACGAAGTGTTAAAAAAATTCAATGAGTTAAACATTAGAAAGAAAGCAAAACATCTAAAAAACAAACTTTTAAAATAATCCAAAATTGAATTTAACTTTAAAAAAATACACGTGACATGCATTCAGACTAGTAGAACTACTTTCAATAAAAAAATATTAAACCTTTTTATACTATCTATACAATATATAAAGTTAAAGATTATGAGCATTATCATTTAGTGTTTACACATGTTTAGTATTTTCTAAACTTTCATTTATACCCTTATTATTAAGAGCATATAATTTTTCCCCAGAGTAAAAACTATATTTTCAAGGATAGTTGTGTCAATTAATTAATTGCACACCCTCCTGTTTTAAAATATGAACTAAAATTATGTCAGTAATTGGCCAATTGAAATTAATTACCAAATAACTAATCGCCACATCATAAATATTCTTTACAAAACTTAATTTTCATGAATAATATTTTTACAAAAGACCATAATTTTGATTAATTTCACAGACCTAGAATGTATCTTATGCACTAATATAATATTAAGTACCAATCGTTCATTGATTTTTCTTTTTCTTTACTAACAATTGGTCATTGATTCATTTTGCATACTCTCAAAACATTAAGTTAAAAACAAAACTCAGTTTGAGAATGGCATCGCATATTTCATGAATCTTCACGAAAAATTTATATACCATCAATCAAGTTTAGCACAAGTCAATTTATTTCGTGTACTTAGAAGGCATTAGGTAATCTGGTTCCTTAAGGAATGAGTTTCAAAACTATTCATAGTGATACTTATCATTTGATTAAGGCTAATTGGAATGAGCTAATGAATATCGTAAGCTCATTGTTTGATTGACTATTATTTTAATGGGGAATCAATATTTATTCACCAATGTAATTGATGTTTTTAATTAACAATAAAAATTTAACAAATACTAGAAGAAATTAAGAGAGTAAAGAAAATTTAGAAAAAAAAGAATAGGAAAAAGAAAAAAAATGTAAACCTATATCTATATTTTTAGTTATAAAACACTCTATGGATTCAAAAAAAATAAAATCCATTGCTATTAACTAATAAATAATACTTAGTGAATGTAGGTGTATTGTTATTATAATAGAATATTTGAAAAAGTTTACGTGACAATAAATTATTGGATACTTAAAAAAGCATTAAATCAGAAGGAAAGTGGCATCTTTGTTCCTCCGTCAAGACGGGCTTTATTTTAGGGAAGTTCTAAAATTAAACTGTGGGCCTCTTGTTCATTATCCGTTCTAGCCTGCCTTCAGTTACAATTTTCATTTTTGTCTATTATCCCCCACCTAGCTGTGTTGTCCTATTCCTATTACTTCTAGCCACTGTGCAGAGATGACTCAGCTTTGCGCCATAAAAGCAATCCAAGATAGGTGTAGCACCAAATTGTAGTATTTTAGATTATACCCCGGGGCCCAAGAAGAATCCATCTTATGAGTCAGGGCTAAAAGAATACAAAATATTAGGAACAAGGAAGTTCGTTTATATATACATCGCGGATTCGCAGCCCTCGAAATCGCCTTAAAGCAAATCCAAAGAATTAGGGTTTGTTTGCTCTTCAGTTGGCTTCGGGAAAGTTTCTTTCCTGCGACGAAGAACTTGGAGTTTATCAACCAGCGGCGGAGGATCGAGGAATCGACGGAGAAGAAGTAGCGGACAAAGACGCCGACCAAGGAAAGTCATCCTCTTCCAGCGAAATGTCATCCCTAAACCGGGATGGACTTCAGTTTGACGACCTCGACGCCAATTACGAGTCCGAAGAGGATTACGAGTACGTGCGCAGCACCGAGTCCGACGAGGCCGATTCTGACAGGTCCGAATCCGAGCCCGAGGGTCGGGGTCAGGGTCCGAGTCCGAGTCCGAGTCCGACTGGTCCGAACACCACGCTTTCCTGTTCGACCCTTTTTTGGATGAATGGTCTATAAAAAATGAGGAAGAATTGGAGAAATATTATGATGTGGTATACAATTTCGTACCTTTTTTCTTTATGACACATCCATACAATCTGTTGAATCCAGAGCTTATAAATGCCTATATACATACACACAATTGCACATTTACAATTGCACAGGTATTTAATTTGGAGAAAACAAGAGGCCGTTTTTTTAACTGTCTTGAAGACTTGAAGACTGGTGGCGTTTTCTACAGATCTGTTAAGAACAGGGTGAATACTGCTGTTATTCACTATAACAAGAAAAATGTATGTACGCTTTTTGCCTTTTTTTTGTCTGTTTATTCGTTTTGGTTATGTTAATCTTCTTCTTCTTCCTCCGCTGTTTTTTTAACTATGATTTTTTGAAAAAAATTATTAAATTGGCAGCAAACTGGCTTTAGAGCAGGCAAGATTTTGAATTGCGTTCTCAATGCAGCTGGGGGTGCTAAGCTTTATTTGACCTTTGTGGCCAAGGATTTCAATACTGGTGATGTGCGGGAATTCCAAGCGTGTGTGTATGAATCTGCTGCTGGGGTGATAGGAGAGTCAACCTTTGCAGGCTTAAAATTCCTAAGGTACCATCGTAGCTTTATATTGATCTTTTTCGGCTTCTATGGTGTGGATGTGTTGTTTGTCCATTTTGTTACTTTCTTGCCTTGGTTGCCACTAATGGCTGTGCATTGCCTGCTGGATGGAAAACAGTAAGTAGTTGGCCTAGGTGTTAATTATGTTTCTTATAGTAAAAAGAAAACTTTTTGGTTTTCACCAGATATATTGGCAAAAAATGAGTTGTACCGTAGTAGAGATTGTGACATAAATCTGCAACTTGCCCTGGATTTTGGAGTTGTCAATATTGACAATGCTTCTGGCATTTGGTTGCAGCAAGTAAGTTTGGAGTCCTAAGCATGTACTGGGTGGAGTGTGGAGTCCTAAGCAGAATCTTTTAGTTGTTGAATTCAGATTTGGTTTCATTACTGAAGATGCATGGTTGGCCTATAAACACAGGATTTGTCTCATATGGACTGATGAAAATATTATGTATAGTTTTGGATTAAACAGTAGTGTCATAATCTGTTAAAAAAAAAAAGAAATAAGCTTTAGATTAAACGGTAGTGTCATAATTGGATATAACAACAAAAGCTTGAAAGATTCACTGACTTTTAGGGCTGCAAAGATCCCATAGCAAAGGCTGGTTTCAATTTTTGGTAAGCTCATCCTCAGCTCACCAAATGGGGCTTGAATTTTAAAGGAGCTGAGCTGAGATTTTCTCATGATTGGAAACCGTGGTACACAAGTCTTTTTACCGTAATAGGGTTTGTAGTTACACCACTCCACTAATTTCACTCTTTCCACCTTTCACCTTAACTTAATCCGCTGTTTTCTCGTTCTCTTTCGTCTCCATTCTCGATACTCTTATACCCACGAGTCCATCACTCACTAACCCTTCATTGCCACCTACCAATACCACCTAGAACCTGCTAGTTGCAACCAATTCTTATTATTAACGCTATGCTCCTAATTTCTTCCTTCAACCAGCCTGGAGCCGCCGCGCCGCCGCCGCCGCCGCCGCCACCACCACCCATTGCAGACTGACACGATTTTGGTAGTTTTTTTTCCTCTGCATATTGCTAATTTCACTTTTTTTTGGCCCTTTTTTGGTTTCTGCTGTTGTCTATTAACTGCACTTGGGTTTCCCTCGTAAAAAGTGGGGAAAAAGAAATAAGATGTGCAAAAGATACGAGCCCTTGTTGTTTATCAAGTTTAATAACTGGCCTCTGTCAGGGAGTGGAGACTGCTAAATTAAATTGTCAGGGCAATAACTAATCGAATACTTGGTATAATGTGGGCACGCTGCCTAAGGATTGGAGTTTGGACCGTCTCAATTGGTCTTAAGGTTTTAAGTTGTAAACCAATTAGATTGACATGTTTTAATCGGCCTGATCACAACATGGTAAATGAATCATATTCTGATTCTGGTTCTCATTCTGATACGGTGTAAATTAACAGATGGTTGGCTCATGATAGCTGATTTACTGATTGTTTGGTTGAGCAGAACATGTTGTTATGGTGTGGTTATTCAACTAGAAAGCCCTTGAAATAGTTGTTGCACATGATTCTTACAGATATCGGTGGCCGTATAGGCTCATTCCATGTCTGCTGCAAAAATGAGATGATCATTCTCCCCCCCCACCCTAGATGAGATATTTCTAGTTTAGTATGATTTAACCATTGTTATTTCAGTTAAAGGTAAAACTAGTGGTGGTTGTTTATCTTCATTTTTGTGGGGATTTTTCAATGTTTTCTAGTGCCTTATTTGTTCCAATTTTTTTGGTGTAGGAACCATGCGAGGGTGATGGCAAATGCATTTGAAGGAGGAGGAATTTCATGATTGACTTGGGAATTGAGTGGATGCCACTGTGTGTGGAGATTTGAATCTTTGCTGAAATCACTTGGGAATATTGTCTTAGATGCTGAAATTACTTTGTTGCTGGCTGCTGATTTGGTTTTTGTTGGTGTGGTCGTTGACTCAAAACACTTTGTTGATGATTTGGTCTTTTTGTTTTATGTCTGCGTTTGAGTTTGTTGGGATGGTCGTCTACCATGTGGTTGCTGAGTTTTATTTGTATTAAATGAGATTGTTAATTGTGTAATTAAAGAAGGTATGGAAGCTTACTATCTGGGAACTCGAGACTCGCTACTAGGTGAAACCTCCTTAATGCTGATAGCGGAAGTGGGTCCAACGGCAACCTCTTGTAATCCCTCATCAGCCTCTTAGTTGTCCGACATTGATGGGGCTAGGGATTGGTTGGACAGAGTCCTGGGAGTGGATGATGGTGTGTAGCTTATAAATTGAACCCTGTTTTAGGTTGAAAATTTTGTTTGACTAGAGTAGATGATTGGTATCTTTGGAAAAGTTACCTTGCGTGGTCTGGGTGGTAATTTTGAACTTTGTAGTGACCTACAGATTCCACACTTGGATAGAATTGGTTGTAACCTCATACGTCCTGAAAAGATAGGGTGGAGTGAAAAACTACGAGTAATTGTGACTCAGTTGGGTTTGCTACTGAACTAAGGCACACTTAGATATGTTTTTAAGTTTGCTTGACGATTATGATAGCTGTAAGGTGACAGTAGCTTTTAGATATGCAGATCTTGTCTCTGTACCTCCAGCTGGAGTTAGTGTCCAAGGAAGTTCGTGGACAGGAAGAGACGCGGATCATTAGGTACAAAAATTTATGCATAGGACGCTCTACGACGACGAACCATGAGTTTTACTAGAAGGTATAATCTCAGTAGAGTTTAGCTATGTCATATAGCTTAAGTGGTAGTAAACTCCTTTAAAGCCCTCTCAAAATCAGTTTGCCCCTAATGTTGGGTGTCAAAACCACTTTGCCTTCTTTTGTCACTTAAAAGCAATGCATGACCGTTACAAATTATTAAACTCTAAAGTGTCCCACTTTCTACCAGTGAGAGTTTTTGGACAAAAACCACCCTGTCCTAATTAATCCCTTGTTCATATATAAACTAGGAGGGGATCACCGCGCAAATGCGCGGTGGACAGTTCTAAAATTTACATGCCCAATTATGCCCTTTTTACAAAATGTCTGTAATGCAATCAAGGATCAAAAAAATGAACGGTGTGAAATTTTAATCTTACCTAATTATTGCCCTCTAAAGATAAATTTTCTATGGAAAAAAATATTATTGCAATTGTAAATGATTTTAAACTATAAAAAGTTGCATTTACAATTTGTCTAACTGTGTAAACTTTGACACTTGTTCACAGTCAAGGAATTCATAATAAATAAATAAAACACTAAAATTAGTATTGTAGAATCTCGAAACATGAACTTGAACTTCCATGATTCCGATAAATACATATTTTAAGTTAACCAAAAATAACAACTTTCTGTCATTTGTACTCGTCCCAGAATTGAATGAGCAACTTTTGAAAGAAACTACTGAGAACCTGCCATGTATTATAACAAGAAAGAAAGTAAGATATAATCCATCAAAATTAGTTTACTGCTATAAAACCAAGTTCAAAGTAAATCAAGAGCCTTGAATGATGCCAATAATCACAGGACAAATTCAACAAACATCTGCACTTTTGGTTACTAATAGTCTCATACAAAATTCGTTACCCCTTCTATTTATCAACCCATTTCACAAGCAAGAAACTTTTTTTTTTTTTTTGGGTACCTTGTTTTGGGTACAGTAGTTGTCAAAGTCCAGAAATGAAAAGATTCTTACAGGTAAGCTAAAGTGTCTTGCTGGGTAACCTGAGTTCTTACCAAAGTGAAAGTATTAGATGTGCTAGATCCCTGGAGATGATATGTAAGTAAACTTTTCTACAACTTGATCATGAAACTGCGCAATTTACACAAAATGCCAATGGAAGATAAGGTGAAAAAGGAAATAAAATGATCATGCAATCAAATAGGCTAGGAAGATCCTAAAACGTAAAAAAGAAGCAGAAACTTCACCAGAGAGGATGTCTTTATATTCTAATGACATACTCCAACCCAAAAGCCAAAATACATGCAACTCTAAATAAGGTCATGTAATTCAGCTTTTATTTCCAATAAAGTTCATATTACTCCAGCATCAAGAATCTATAAAATTTTCAGGTGTAAAGAAAAATAGTGAAGGCAATATTCACAAGTGTAAAGAAAAACAGTAAAGGCAATATTCATCTAAAAAATTGGTCTTCAATTAATTTCAACATTGCTCCTATTCAATATTCACAGGGTTTACATGGATTGTTGAGGCTTTTGCAACAACTTGTTTAATCAAACTTTTGATATATGTTCTATTCCCATAGAAAGAAAACACAAGTACATGTGTCCATTAAAAACCCCTGAAATGGAATGCAAAACTCTAAATATATAGGGAAGGCAAATAATAAGTTTCTATGAGTTGCTGTCCATTTTATCTTTTTTTGTAAAATCTCAAAATTAGTCCAATGTTGGTTATAAGGTTTTGCTAATCTCAATATTATTAAGAACACCGGTTTCAAAGCAGATTCATCAAGTACACTATTCCCTGATTGTCACAGTCAGTATTAGTTTGTTAATCATGGTTAATTGGGATATACTTCACACACTTCACATGGTTTGAAATTAACTACTTCAACTGTTAACAGCCTAAGGTTTTAAGCCAAGCATTGAATAAGTTCTGTAGATAGCATGCTTAGCAAAGCAAGCATGACATTCCAGGCTTTAATCAAACAATGTTGATCCAAATCCAAAAAAAATAAAAGAAAATTACCTATGAAATACCTATGGAATGGGGGTAAAGGTAGTAGAAAATTACAGTTGAAAATTTAATCAAGAGAAAAAGTATACATAAAACAGGAATGGAGAATCCAGTGGTTTTTAGAGAGAAAGAAAGAAAGATAAGAACAGAAGGATTTTTTGAGACAGAAGCCTCGAGTAGGAGAGGATTAGGAAAAATTTTTAAATGGGAATCAATTAGTTTTCTCAACATTGAGCCCAATATTTTTGTTGCAGATATAGGAATTTATATTTCATCCACCAGCAAAGAGGGAAAAATTGTTTGCTGCATAGAAAGAAGAGGGAATAGTTTTTTTTTTTTTGATAGAAAGGATTGGAACACTCTAACATGAGATAAATCCAACAAGACATCTTCCCATCCATTAAATGCCAATCTCACAATTTATCATTTGTTCATTATCTTGCTCAAAATAATCATTTACTTTTTAACCGCACATACACATAAAAGGAAGCCTTGTTCCATTTTTTCTACTTGACCAGATGTTTAGGAAAAAAAATAATTGAAGCACAAGATAAAAGAGACAAAAGAAAAAAACAAACATGAAAATGCTTACTTCTCTAGTTCTTAAAAACCCAGGGATAAGGAATGCCCTTTGTGAGTTAGGAGTTTAACAAACATTTTGCATGGAAGAAAAGACATGAAATAACTAAAAGGAAAAACCTACCAATAGTTGCTGTTCATTCTTCTATCACATAACTGCCATTAAAACAAGAAGCGAGTTTTAGAAGAGGGAAAAAAAGGAAACTATAAAAAAATTATTAAGTTAATAATCACTTCGTGAATAAAATAATGTTGGAACATCCATTAAAATCACAATCATTTCGTCTTCACTCTTCTACATCTTCTTCCACTTGAAGAAAGAAAATGAAACACAGCCATCTCTCCAAGTCCAACATAATCTACTAAAAAAATATGTTGAAAAGGTCAGCTAAATCTTTATAAGAGAGAGATAAAAAAGAAAAGAAAACCATGACTTGCATTCCGTATAGTGATTGAGAAGTTTAGAAAAATTTTAGGAAAACAAACACAAAGACATAACATGCTTTTTTTGTGAGAAAAAATCACTATAGGATGTACCTTTAATAACATATTCATATAAACAGATGGAAACACATCTATTCCAAACATAATCCATTTCAAGAGACATCCTTGCAAGGAAGTTAAAACAACCCTCCAGATAATGTTGGAGGAACATCAGTCTTAAAAAAATCAAGTGCGGACATTATTACATGAAGTAAGCAATAAAAACTGGTACCAGAGAGCTAAAACTAAATATAAAAACTTGAGCTTCATAGGCAGTAACAAGCATCTAGCAGCTTATATTTACAATGGAAATACTTCGTGCAATAATTAACACCTTCAATTTACCAACTAATTTCACATGCATGATGAAAGTTATGAATCTATTCACTGTTTTCTGTCTCTGTTTTATGTATTTATTTATTTTTGGTTAGTTGCATGTACATAATCTGAGGTTCATAGTGTTTCAAACAAAATCGAGATTTATTTCCTCTTTGCAAATTGAGCACAATAATTTTCTCTTACCTATCTCCATATTAATCTCTAATTGTTTGAAATGTTTCTACAAACCCCCATTTTTTTTAAAACAATACTTCAATATTATTAGCACAAATCACAAGTTACAAATAGGGGACAAGACCTGGCCTCCGGAGCGCATGCAGAGCTAACCGTCGGCAAACCCCTTTTATTTAATGATGGATTTCTGTTTTCATGCCATGGGAACATTTTTTAAAGGAGATCAAATACATCCGGAATAAATCCACTTAAAAGCACTATTTCTTGCTTATGCATATATACCATAAAAAAAAAGGAACAACAAAGCAGTTAAAGATGACTTTGTATGCAGTATGGGAACGAGAGCCTCCTATCAATTTTCAAAAGAGATACAGAGAACAACAATCACTGTTAACTTCAAAGTCCTGAAAAAAAAAAAACACAGCATCTGAAGATCTTCATCACAGTAAAGGTGAGTAAAAAGATAGTTTACCGCGGCACAAAAAGATAAATTAGTTTCTTCACCTCAATTATAACTAAGAATGCACTTGTTCACTATACTATTACCCCATATGTTAAACCTTACACATTGACAAGCACAAATTGGAAACAGTGACAGATTTTAAATGCATCTGTGACATCTAATGTATCAGATGAAATTCATATACGCTGTTCAGCAAGCAAGATAACACTATCTGTCAGATACCACCACAATTTGAACATCAGATGGACATTAAACACATGAATCTTACAATAAATGCCATCAAGCAGACAAATGCAGTGTAAAATAGAGAAGTGATGTCAGAAACAAACTACCTGATGCCCATTCCATTCAGCATTTGAAGGCACGCCTAGGGGCGGCTGGCGAAAT